CCCTCCCTCCCCAGGGTGCTGCTCCCTCAGGTGTTTCCCAGGTAGACCCGGTCGAGCCTGTCGAGGTAGCTGTCGACTCTGGTCCTGCGAGGGTACTGAGACTAGGGGTGCTGAGACTGGGGGTGCTGAGACTGGGGGTGCTGAGCCTGGGGGTGCGGAGACTGGGGGTGCTGAGACTGGGGGTGCTGGGCCTGGGGGTGCTGAGCCTGGGGGAGCTGAGCATGGGGGTGCTGAGCCTGGGGGTACTGAGCCTGGGGGAGCTGAGACTGAGCGTCTTGCGCCTAGTGACACTCCCTCTTCACAGCAGCTACGTGAGTGGTACTCTCAGCGTTACAGCCTCCAGCGTGGGGCGGCTGTAGCTGGGGGTTCTGCTGGAGTTGGAGCTGGTGGTGCTGGGGGTGCTGGGTCGCAGCCGTCGCCTCCCTCCCTACAGCGACTGCGTGAGTGGTACGCTCGGCGCTGCACCCTCCTGAGCGGAGCTCCTGGCCCTGGGGTGCCGCCCACTGGTGCTGCTGGAGGTACTGGTCCTGGAGGTGCTCGTAAAGGCGGTGCTGGAGCTGCTGGGACTGGGGGTTTTGCTGGAGCTGGTGCTACTGGAGGTGCTGCTGGTGCTGGAGTTGGAGCTGCAGGTGCTGGAGCTGCTGGTGGAGCTGAGGACGCCGGGTCTACTGGAGTTGGTGTCGCTGACGACCATGGGGTTGGTCCTACAGGTGCTGGAGCCGACGGTGCGGCTGGAGTTGGCACTACTAGAGCTGTTTGTGGTACTGCTAGCGTTGGAGCTGTTGCTGGGGGTTCTGATGCGGTCCCTGTACTTTGTTCCGCTCCTTCAACAGGTTCTTGGTCAGCCACCTCCTCCTTGTCCTGCTCTCTCCCTAGAGTGTCCTCCGCCTGTCCAGTCACAGGCAGAGTTACAGCCCGCCTCGTCACTTCCTAGTCCTTCTCCCTAAACTCGTCCGACAGGATGTCTTACGAAGCGTCGTGAGCCGGAGTCTCGTCCTATGTCGCCTGAGTCTCGTTCTGCGTCGCCTGTTCGTGCTGCTCGCACTGGTGGGTGCCTGGGACAGCAGGAGGACGCTGACGCGGGACACGACGACCAGTGCGAGCAGCACGAACAGGCGACGCAGAACGAGACTCAGGCGACATAGGACGAGACTCCGGCTCACGACGCTTCGTAAGACATCCTGTCGGACGAGTTTAGGGAGAAGGACTAGGAAGTGACGAGGCGGGCTGTAACTCTGCCTGTGACTGGACAGGCGGAGGACACTCTAGGGAGAGAGCAGGACAAGGAGGAGGTGGCTGACCAAGAACCTGTTGAAGGAGCGGAACAAAGTACAGGGACCGCATCAGAACCCCCAGCAACAGCTCCAACGCTAGCAGTACCACAAACAGCTCTAGTAGTGCCAACTCCAGCCGCACCGTCGGCTCCAGCACCTGTAGGACCAACCCCATGGTCGTCAGCGACACCAACTCCAGTAGACCCGGCGTCCTCAGCTCCACCAGCAGCTCCAGCACCTGCAGCTCCAACTCCAGCACCAGCAGCACCTCCAGTAGCACCAGCTCCAGCAAAACCCCAGTCCCAGCAGCTCCAGCACCGCCTTTACGAGCACCTCCAGGACCAGTACCTCCAGCAGCACCAGTGGGCGGCACCCCAGGGCCAGGAGCTCCGCTCAGGAGGGTGCAGCGCCGAGCGTACCACTCACGCAGTCGCTGTAGGGAGGGAGGCGACGGCTGCGACCCAGCACCCCCAGCACCACCAGCTCCAACTCCAGCAGAACCCCCAGCTACAGCCGCCCCACGCTGGAGGCTGTAACGCTGAGAGTACCACTCACGTAGCTGCTGTGAAGAGGGAGTGTCACTAGGCGCAAGACGCTCAGTCTCAGCTCCCCCAGGCTCAGTACCCCCAGGCTCAGCACCCCCATGCTCAGCTCCCCCAGGCTCAGCACCCCCAGGCCCAGCACCCCCAGTCTCAGCACCCCCAGTCTCCGCACCCCCAGGCTCAGCACCCCAGTCTCAGCACCCCCAGTCTCAGCACCCCTAGTCTCAGTACCCTCGCAGGACCAGAGTCGACAGCTACCTCGACAGGCTCGACCGGGTCTACCTGGGAAACACCTGAGGGAGCAGCACCCTGTGGA